TCTCCGGTTTCCATAGAACCCGCTAGGCTGCCTCACCCCTCCCAGCTCTGCTGCTTCCAGACCTTAGCGTCAGTGCAGGCGGCGGGCATTGCCAGGCCCTGCCTCCCACTGGGAGGGAAGTGGAGACCTTCTTTCAGTCTAGTAGAATTGTGTTTTTCACAGCGAAAGGAGTTTGTATCTCTGCGGCTACTGTGTATAGCCTTTGACCAAAAACGCGCGAACACCTGTCCTAAAGGGAGGGTCCGTGTTCCTGGTGAGCCCATCTGCTGCCTGAAAACCAGGACGAAATAAGTGATTATTCAGAAACTTATTCCACTTCCAAGGTCTGACTGTAAATATTGACAAACTCTGATTTGCCTTAATACTCCAAATCAGGATTTGGGACCTGTGGTAGATGGAACTTGATTTTAAAGTCCCCAAGCTCTTTTATGGCAAATGACTGTCCTCTACAGAGGAAAAAAATTCTATTGAGACATTGGAAATGTACTGGATTCACAGTGTACTTGTAGCAAACACCACATCTTACGGAGTTTTTTGTCTGTTACCCTGTCATGACCCAGGACTTTAGTTGGTTTTCAAGCTATTCCTGACTATGTGATGTTTGTCATTTATTCTAGGTGTTTAAAACATAGCTGATCATTTGGTTGTTGATTCCTGTGAGAGGAAATTTGATTTTAAGTTAAAGATAATTTCACGTACTAGGATATTAAAAACACTCAAATGTTTAGATCTATTTTATTGTAAGACAGTCTTCAATAAGTAACTACCTATTAAACTTGTTTTCTAATTTTCTCTTGCTTTTTTGACTTGGGTGATGGTCAGTTAAGTAACTTGATTTAGAATTTTTTGGTTTTGACAAGTAGAAAGGTTAGATCATGTTAGTGGGCGAAATGGTTAATTCTAATTCCTTTTCATAATCAAAATTAAGAGTACTTAAGATTTCATTCCATGCATTCACAATTTTCATGGATTCCTCGTTGATATTTTTTGGTTGTTTTTTTTTTATTTTGTTTTGTTTTTGTCTTTAGGAAACCGATAGTATAACCTTACTAGATAGTATTTTCCTTATGTATGTTGGCTATATTAGTCTACATGTCTTTTCTTTTTACTGTTTAAAAATCATGTCAAGAATAAAGTCAGTTGTCAGAAAGGTGGAAATAATAAAACCTAAAGAAAATGGAGAACCTTTCCAAAGAATAGAAACTATAGTGGAAAGTCACCTTTTGTTCTTTAATCAATTCCATTGAAATGGTTTTGAAATTGAGAATATATTGTTATTTTTGATAAGAAAATCTGTATGAAAAATTCCAATAATTGATTCCAAATCTGTTTTGAGAGAAAAATAATAGAATCTGTTTTGCCAAAAGAAAAACAATAGTACTCTTTAGAATATTCCTACAAATGTGTGAATATTTTAGACATTAGAATTTTTGTGAAAATGATTAATAACTGTTTAAATCTTTGCATTTGTTGCTCCAAATGTCTTCTTACCCATGACTTCCTGTTGTACTGGTGGAATATTAATCGATTTGTAAAATTGTAATGTGTTTAAAAAAAGTAGATTAAACCTGAAATTTAACCTGTTTGGCATTGTAAAAAGGGAATAGCCCTTTCACAGAAGAGGCTTATCTTGGAATCATGGTTTGACTATTTTTACAAAGATGTGACTCCTTAAGGTAGGTTTTTTTTGTCTTTTGGATTTTTTCTCTGCCCTTGATGCTAGGGATTGACTTGGTGCTTATTTCTTGCTAAGTTACCAAGTTATATCCCAAGTTATACCCCTTCCTTATGTAATTGAAACTAGGTGTAATCCAATATTCTTATAAGTATCTTGTATTCTCATCTGCATATGAGTAAATATAGTGGATAAATATATGAAGTGTATACACCACAGAAGGTCCTTGATAAAAATTAAATCAAACATTTTAATTAACAATCTTAGACTTGTGCTTTTCATACAGAAAACTGTCTTTGTACAGTTTGCTTCCTAAGGACTTCTTTAACGCTAAATTAAAGGGTTAGCCCAGGCTACACCATGTACAGTGTCAGATAGATGAGAGATTGCCACATTTTCCTTGTCTCCTGTTTCTTTTCTCTCTCACCACATTCATTTTTTAATTAATTACCAGATTATCCATTAAAGGAATTAATAATTGTTCCTTTTCTCAAAGGCAGGAACATTTCTCACATCTATCACTAGAGACTTCTGGTTTTCGGGTTCCATTTGTCTTTTTTTGGTTGTGTGTTGCTTATTGATAGAACCTAGGGTCTTATACATGTGAGGTAGACACTGTAGCATTGAGCTACATCTCCAATCTCTCCAGGCCTGTTAAATAATTAATATATCATAGCATTGAAAGATGGAACAGAAAGTAAGACAACTGTTTTTTCTTATTTAGTGTGTGTGTGTGTGTGTGTGTGTGTGTGTGTGTGTGTGTGTGTGTGTGTGTTCTTCCATTGGGTCTTGGGATCAAACTCAGGTCTTTAGGCTTGTGGCCAGTACCTTTACCTGCTGAGTCATCTCCTTGGCAGTAGCATAACAACATCTTTTAGGACAAATGCCAAAGGCCTGCTGAGTGACATTAGACCAAGAGTGTGTTCTTTCCTAGGCCCAGAAGGGCAAGGATTCCTATACTCTACTTGAAGTTTAAGCATTCAGAACCAACAGAATTTCACTCATAGCATAAGTACTAAGACTAAGTGTGTGCTTTGCAATATTGTAAAGCAGAAAGAAATGTCGTTCTTTGGCTTTATATTTCATTTTCATTTCAAGTTTCAATTTAATTTCTCAGTTAAATCTTTCAAGTTTTGAATTCAAAGTAGTGAAGTAAACTGTACTGTAGACTTATATATGCTTTTCAGAAGAAAGAATTTTCAAATGCTTGCCAGTAAAAGGTTTCAAATCAAAATAGTTTACTGTTATAATGAAAGTGAAGAGACTCCTAGTTTTCAACATGTGGTTTATTATATTTATTAACAGGAATATTAGCATGGACAAATAATTATAAAAATTGGGGAAGCACATTCCCAAATTTTGTTACATGTGCTTGTTTTTCATACACACATTAATCTAATACAGTAGTTTGTAAGCTAAGGAAATTAGAAATGAGTTTAATCACTATATACTTGGTAGTACTTTTGAAATTTCTATACTCAAAATGTTGGTTGAAATTTGGTAAAGATTATTTTAGAAGTAAAAATTTAGTTCTTACACACATATATATGACTGGTTATAATATAGATTTAGACCTGGCTCCTCTTTTCTGCAGTAATTTTTTAGCCAACTGTTCATCCTGCTCTTTGTTCCTCCCTCCTACCCAACTTTGCTATCCTGTTACATAGGGTTGCACTCTGTATGTTCATACTGACCTCCAACTTGTCGTCACTGCCCTGTCCCAGCCGCTGACCTTTGTTTTCTTACCTATATTCCTGTCTTGATTTTCTTTTTTGCTTCTTGTTTTTGAGACAGGGTCCCAATGTAGCTCTTGCTGCCCTGAAACTCAGTGTAGATGAATCAGGCTGGCTTGAATCAGAGATCCACCTGCCTCTGCCTCCCTAGTGCCTGGATTAAATGTGCACACTAGTGCTGGTGTATTTTAAAGAACTCAAAGGTTCTGTTAAAAAGCGTAGGATAAAATATACACAATCACAGTGATGAGAAATTTAGGTTTCTTGGTGCTTCTGGAAGACACCAACTGTCAAAAGAATTTCAGGCATCAAGGATAGGCTTTGGTGACAGATATTTTAAGACAGTCCACGCCACAGCGACAGTTGCTTGCTATGTATAAAGGACAGCCTGCTCACAGGCACTGTCTCCTGAGTTGTGTATTTTACATGGTTTGGGGTGAGTATATTTTAAGGAATTTTAACTGTAAAGTTTTTAAAATATTACTACAAAAGACCTTTTTTACAACTCGGAATGTACTAGTGTAATTTTTATTATAAAGATAAACATTTAATTAATAAAACTGAATTGTCTCTTTTCTCCTCTTTTTGTGAAGATGCCATCTGTGTGGTGCTTAAAGGTTCATATGTCCTACTCCCTTACCGCCACTTCAGTTGTGAAGATAGGACAATTTTTTTAATAAAATTTCTAGTATTAACTGCTGTGGAATGCTTGGTCTTTTCTGCTATTAGAAGATTTTGAGAAGTAAGATCTGTTTTTCATACTTCAGAACTATCACCTACATAAAATTGAACCCTACTCTAAGTGCCTGGCTTATTGATGTGCTTTAAGGACATTTCTGTAGTGCTCTCTTAACTCATTGACATATCAGGCTGCTCTTTACTGTTCTCTTAAACTTCCTGGGTATGGAAGTACTATCTACTACTACTGTATGTGTAAAATACATCCATGTCTTTATTGCCATGTGTATGTATATATTAATTGTCCCATGCAGTCATGTATTTTGAATGTCACGTAGATCATATCTTCATGCAATATAATGTTCAAAAACATTGCCTTTGCTTCATGTTGGTAACATAATTACAGAATGGTGGTAAAATGGTGGTTGCCTGCATGTTCAGTGTTTACAGCTCTGTGAGAGTTAACTAACATACTCCTGTTTTTCTGATAAACTTGTGAATAAATGTACTCCATTCTGGTTTGTTTTTAGACATGTATGTTCATACTGTTTGAATCAGGATATTCTGTTTTATCACTTGGGTCTCTTCTTTTCCCTCTTTTTATATGAATAATTTCAGTTTCTTAGTAAGCATTTTCAAATTAATGAAATTGCTTTAAAAATTCTTTGATGCTTTCTGCTGTTGTATACAGTTGGTTCTATTATCATCTTATGAGACATTGGTTTAGCAGAAAATGCTGCTAAATATATGGAGATGATTATTGCCATCAAAATGCATATTACAAAGATGGGTTTAAGATAAAAACTGCATTTTATGTACATATTTATTTCAGTAAGTTAAAATAATTTAACAGTTTATACCTCAAAACAAAATATATTAAAATATCACTTCAGAATTTAAAGTAGCAGTTACTGATATGAAAGGAACAATATGATAGACGTTTTTCTTTAATTTTTACAGAGCCTGTAATTTTCATAAAGTATAATGCAATATTTAAAGGCAACTTATTGGTGATAGTGTTACAGCAAGTTTTAAAACTTCTTTTTGATTATTGGGGGCAGGAGGACATGGGGCTTGATCCCAGTGTCCTCGTCATGATAATCAGATGCTTTGCTACAAGACATCACCCCATCCCTTCTCCAGTTAGTCGGTAACAGTTTCTAATGCATCATGTTCCATAGGTAAGACTGTAAATACTCTGGCCAGGTGGTAGTGGTGCACGCCTTTAGTCCCAGATCTTGGGAGGCAGAGGTAGGCAGATCTCTGTGAGTTCGAGGCCAGCCTGGTTTACAAAGCTATGCAGAGAAACCTTGTCTTGAAAAACCAAAAAAGAAAAGGTACTCTCATCCCTCTCCTTTTCCTACTAGTTCTTGAAATAGCCTGCTAACTAGTTTAAAAACACTTCAATACAGATATAAATATACAATTTGGAAAATGTATAGTACATTTAAAGTCATGGCTTCTTCTCATAACTGACTTTTGAGATCTATAAAAACATTGGTTAAAAACTAAGACAATATTATAGATACATTGAATTTTACTTGGTTACTTCTAAACAATGTATCATTTTCTAAACGAAATTATTAAAGAGTTTTCTTAATTCTTTTGAGTTAATGAAAGAAGATTTCTCCCCTAGTTATAGCCACATGCTGTATAATACAAATGTGCCTTACTGTATAGGCATAGATACTTTTGGAAACAATGTTTTTTACTTGCAGTACAGCATAGTCTTTGTGTATTTGTCTATATTGCCAGTCTGTATTATTTGGTATAGTCACTGAAGAGCTAACTATATTAACCTTGAAACTGGTTTTTAAAATTTATAGTAAAAAGATCCCTTTTCAGGGACGTACTTGTGTCTTATTTATTGATAGTATTTTATAGATATATTTCTTTCATGAGATACCAGCACATGAGTGTACATTTTATAATTGTGTCCTAGCCAGACCAAAGCCCTGTAACTTACATTTAAACCTTTGCTTCAATTGAAAGTCTCATTCTTAAAGACACTTTGTGTTTTATATCTGAGTTTCAGTATTTTAGAGGGTTGATACTTGTTGCCTCCTTTGGAATCAGTTGGCAAATACTGAAAACAGAATTATTGAGGTCATAATATCAGCTTCTTTTACTGAGTAAAAATTGGTTTGAGAGCAGCGGCTTTGATAAGCAGCTCTGCTGTGCTCTTTACTATATGACCTGTGAATTGATCTGCCCTGCAGTGCAGGACCACCAGCAGCTCCCTGACAGGTGTCAGAAAGCATTAGTGTGAGCTGTCTTCACAGGTATTCAGATGTGCTGAGAAAAGCATGGCATTTAGGTCTCTGGAGGAGCCTCTCCCATCTATGATAAAAGCTAGAAAGAGGAACTGCAGTTGCTTTACCCTAGCTAGCATTCCTTCTCTCTCTAGGAGCTTTAATTGTGAAAAGAGAAGGTTCACTCCTGACCCTGTGTGAAGCTTTAAATGTAAGTGGTTTGTAGTGACTCATTCTTACTCCAGAATGAATTTTGACCTGTGTGTGTGTGTGTGTGTGTGTGTGTGTGTGTGTGTGTGTCCAGATGTGTTACAGATTTTAACTCTAGGACTCCCCCCCAACCCCTGGTACCAGTGTCTGATCATTTGAATTGCATACACTCTTTCATACTTTGAATTCTCTCAATAACTTAAAATCCCTGCTCTAGTGTATTCCATGTAAATAGTTATTACTTTATCTTCATTATGGAATAGTGTTGAGAAGAAGAAAAAGCCCTTTCCATGTTAGTTTAAATTTAAGGATTTTTCCCCCAGATACTTTACATGTATACTCTTTTGATATGAAACTCGTAAAGCTTTTAGTTCTTGAAAATAAAATTTCCAAGACTTTATTCACTTAATCCTGTGTTCAAATACCTATCTCTACTCTTAATAGATTGTTTGTTTTGACTTTAGGTTCTTGGGTTTTCATTTATTTATTTATTTTGTGATATGCATTGATTGAACGAAGGTCCATATCTGTGCTAAGAGTGCATTCTATGCCCAACACTTAAAGACTACTTAGATTTTTCTGAGAAGCCATTGTTTCTTTGAATGTTACTATAGCAACTGGTATTGCTCTGCCTGTGGTATTAGATCCTAATCTGTAGCGATTACAACAAAAGTGTTAGAGAAATGAAAGTTACTGGAATTCCATTTATCTCTGGTGTTATCTGAGCAAAAAAATGTTCTCAAAGTGCTGTCTCTAGTATTAACCTCGTTTGAACAAACTAAAATATGTTCTAATTAGAGAATCTATGAATTAGGTAACACCTTAAATACAAAGTACTTTGTGAACTATGTTTCATATGAATTGAGACCCCATGAAAACAAAGCTAGATTAAACCATGTGGGTTTTTTTTGTTTGCCTTGTGATAAAATAAGCATACACTCACAGAGAGAGACCAGAGACATATTGTGATATAATTAACACACACATATATGTATCAGAAAGAGTGTGGGAAGGAAATAATTAAAACTAAGTTGTAAACAGATGTTGGAGTCATTGTGCCTGTCTCTTAGATTTTTGAATATAAATGCTTTGGAAATGTGAGGCCTGTCAGTAATTTAGTGACCTGTATATATTTTTTAATTTTGCCCACATTTTAAAAACCACCATGCAACTGATAGTTTCATTTTCACAAATGTGCTTACTTGAAAAGCTTTCAACAACAACAACAACAATCCCATAAGTATGCTCATATTTATCTAGGCCCCTATCATTTTGTGAGGAATCATATTCAACAGTGTGTTTTAATGGCAAGTAATATAGTACTGTAGGCTTCCAGTGTTGAAATAACGACAAAAATCCACTTTAAGGTTTCAAGAAAATAATTTGAAACTGGCTTTTATTGTAGTAACTAAATTTAACATCATTACTTACAGTTAAGCTTTACATGTATAATTCATAATATGTTTCATGGTTTTAGTTTCCTTTTAGTACTCATAATTATGAAAAAATAAGTTACCCTTATGCATAATGTTTAACATCTGCTATCTTCTGTATGTGTGTATATGCTAGATGGAAGATGGTGCCACAAAACATGTCATCCAAATGACAGGATTTAAGATGGAAGAAAAGGAAGCTCTAGTCAAATTACTTTTAAAACTAGATTGCACTTTTATTAAGAGTGAGGTGAGTAGAGGAATGTACTAAAATATTCCATGGAGTTAAAAATAGAATTTAAATCAACATGTCCTTTGATATTATAAAAGTAAATTTTTTTATTATTAAGAAAAATCTCATTGTAGTAACATTTCATGTGGACTCTTCCCTCTAGAAATATAAAAATTGTACACATCTTATAGCTGAACGCCTGTGCAAGAGTGAAAAATTCTTAGCAGCTTGTGCAGCAGGTAAGAAAGAAAACTCACTTTCTCCAACTCTTGAAAAAAATTCCATGTTAACAGAAAAAATCTTAAGTCACTGGAAACATATTATGCTTATTATGTCAGACATAATGTCTTGCTTTCTGATTTTTTAAAGATATTTGAGTTTTTTGCTTTACTCTGATTAAGATTTTCTAACTCATGCAATATATATTAAATAAGAAGAAAATTTCCTTTGTCACAGATATAGTTTAAATGTTTTCTTTAAGAAAAGTGTCTTAACAAAAAGATTGGGACAAAGTGCACAAACCTTAAAGCCTTAGTTTCTGAAGCCTCAGCCCCGAGTCCCCCTTGTCTTCTATCATTTCTCATTACAATTGAACAGGGTTCTGTCCCTGTGTCTATACTGGGAAGCCATTGCATCCTCTTTTATTTTTATGAGATAGTAAGTTCTGAATGCCCAAGTTGAAATTTGGCTTCTCATCTCACCTTTTCTCATCACTGATGCACCAGTAGCTTTTTTCCTATTTAATTGATTTTTTGTGTCTTATTCAGTCATGGATGCCTTATCATTTTTTATCTTTTATTCGCCAAAGAAACAGACTTATCGCTAACCCTTACAGACAAAACTGTGCATATTCCTGCTGTTTAAAGGATCACTGGTGCAGCACATAAACAGCAGAATATGAATATTTATTCCTATAAAATTCACTCACTTATTAAATTCAACATAGCACAACAATACTGTGAATGTTATTTAAAAAGTTTAGCATAGGAGAAAATAAACCTAACAAAGAAAAATGAATACAATTAGTATTAATAGTTCAAGTAACATTGCCTTTCACTTTAAAACTTTAGATTTATATTTTATCTAGTAGCATTTAGAATTGTAGCTGTGAATCATAGAAAAATTGTATACAATGTTCAGTGATATTTAAGGCCTCTTGAAAATTTGTCTTTAAAAATAATTTTCATAGTCTATCATGAGAATCACATGTACAAAAAGGATGACTTTTAGTTGCTACTTGATCTTTATTGTTTACCATTTAGCAGAACTAAAATTCTTTTGTGACAGTTCATTTGCTTTCTAGGAAAATGGGTATTAACGAAGGACTACATAATTCATAGTGCCAAAAGTGGCAGATGGCTTGATGAAACAACTTATGAATGGGGATATAAAATTGAAAAAGACTCCCATTATTCACCACAAATGCAGTCTGCACCTAAAAGATGGCGTGAAGAGCTGAAACGGACTGGTGCTCCAGGAGCCTTCCACAGATGGAAAGTCGTCCTCCTTGTTAGGGCAGATAAGCGAAGTGATTCTCTCGTAAGGTAAGATGCAGTTATTCCATACCTTTGAAGCAGTGAATGAGTTCTTGTTTCTATGATACCTTTTAACATTCATGTTCAATGTTAGAATGAGATGTGTTATTTTTTTACTGCGGGTTTATTTTTAGTTACTAGGGTTTTTTTTTGTTTTTTGTTTTGAGAATTTCATGCATGAATACTGCATCTACATCACTCCCACTTCCTCATTCCCCCATCCAACTCCTCCCTAACCCCCCATTTTTTTCTCCATTTTTAATTTGAATTAGAAACAATATTATTTTATTATATTTCACTCCCAGTTCCGTCTCCATCCCCTCCTCCTCTGCCCCCCCCCCCCCCCCTCCCAACTAAAACCCAACCAGCCTCTCAACTAATACCCTACCTATCCCATACCCTTTCTACACCCCAGGGAGAGTGAGGCCTTCCATAGGGGATCTTCAGAGTTTGTCATATCCTTTGGGATAGGGATAGCCCACCCTCGTGTGTCTAGGCTCAGGGAGTATCCCTCTATGTGGAATGGGCTCCCAAAGTCCACACCTATGCTGTGGATAAGTACTTATCTACTACAAGAGGCCCCATAGATTTCAAAGGCCTCCTCACTGACACCCACATTCCTGGAGTCTGGATCAGTCCCATGCTGGTTTCCCCGCTATCAGTCTGGGGCCCAAGAGCTCCCGCTTGTTCAGGTGAGCTGTTTCTGTGGGTTTCACCAGCCTGGTCTTGACCCCTTTGCTCATCACTCCTCCCTCTCTGCAACTGGATTCAAGTTTAGTTCAATGTTTAACCCTGCCCACCCCTATTTTTAATGATCTCTTATCCATTATTCTTCCATGTACACACACATATGTACACCTATGTATATAACCCACTGAGTCCATTCAGCTTTGTTTGTATGTCATGTGTCTAGGGCTTTATCAAATCTCAAATGAGGCATTGTGCACAAATGTATGCATTTAATAGAACAAAATTGGGTTTATAGATAGGCTTTGACTATTCTGGTGATCTCCATTTTAGTTCTGATGTCATTTCTTTTGTTCACCTTTAGGAAAATAAGAGAAATCAATACTTAAGAAAATTGGAGGCCTTCTTAAACTTTTGCTAGTTTATTATTTTATTATCAGAGATGCTTCCTTGGGGTTTATGTAGCACTTTCTTTGTGGGTTTATACTATTTCCATCATAATTTAATTTCTTTTTTCTTTTTTTCCAGACAAGGTTCCCCTGTGTAGCCTTGGCTGTCCTAGAACTCACTGCAGACCAGGCTGGTCTGGAACTCACAGACATCTGCCTGCCTCTGCCTCTGAGTGCTAGGATTGTTGGCATGTGCCCTCACACTCAGCTCATTTTGTCTTTTTAAATACAAGAAATTTTTGCTTGTGAAAGTATGTGGACAGGTATAGTTATACATGCATTTGCAGAAGAAAGAGCTCACAACTTTCCTTATTACTCTACACCGTAGAGATTTTGAGACACACTCTGTCACTGAACCCAGGGCTTGTTGATGGGGCTAGGCTCATTGGCTGGCTGGACAAGCTCTTGGAATCCACTTGTCTGTTTTCTGATGCTATAGCCACAGTTGTACACCACTATGCCTGGGTGTTGACAGGTGCTAGAGATCCCAACTCAGCTTCTCATGCTGTAGAACAAGCACTCCATGCAATGAGCCATCTCTCCATCACTTTAAATGGGTAAAAGACTTCTCATTGGCTAAACTATATTTTGATACTTGTATTTTAAAACCAGGGCTAGAAACTTAACTGTTTCACCAAAATGTAATTTATACACAATGGAATACACCAATCTTAAGTGTACATTTCAGTGAGTTTGTAGAACTCGTACAATAGTGTTATCCTAACTCTATCAAGATCTCTTGTATCCTTCCTTGTACTTTTAATTCTGGGCCATCAATACCAATCACTGATTTCTTATTATTATGCTTTAAGTGTTTTGGGGTTTGTGTGTATGATATATTGCTTTGATCTGTCATCATTTTCCTTGTGCTGTAGTTGTGAGATTTTATCTATTTTGTTGCATTTTTCAAAAATAGCATTTTTGTTGCTCTTTAGTATTCCACTGTGTGATTGCATTGTAGTCTGTTGTTTATTTACCTTTTAATGAACATTTGGGAGTTTTTTTGGTCTTTATTGATTAAGCCACTTTTAATATTTGAGTATAATTTTTTTACATACACATGATTTCAATTCTCTTAAGAAATATCTAGGAATTGTTGGCTGAAATGGCAAATTTATACTGAACATTATAAGAAAATGCCGAATTATTTCCTAAAATAGTTGGTCTACATTTGCTTACCCTTGCAGGAGCTCTGTGTTACATATGCTTTGAACATGTCTTGACACTGTTGCTAGACTCACTGCTGTGTGTATAGTCTGTGTCAGGAACTCGTGTTCTAGGTAATCATACTCAGTTCTACTTACCATCCTCAGCCAACTGTTTGGTCACTGCAGCTCTTGGAATCAGTTAGTTTGAATCTTTCAACCTTAATGTTTTTTAAGCTCTTTGTGAACCTGGATCCTTTGAATTTCTACATCTTAGAAGTCAGTGAAAGTCAAATTAAGGCTTTCAGTGGGATTGTGTTTTATTTGTGGCCTTGATTTTGTGAGAATTGAGCTCTTACACTGTTGATTATTCCTCTTTGTGGGCGTCCTTTAATGCTCTATAAGTTATATTGCTTCTTTGTTATATCAGCTGGCCCTTACTTAACCCATGATTCTGTGGCTCTTCCCAAGTACAGGGAGTACATTCCTTAGCCAGCATGCTTAGTATACTTTTTAGTTTTCATTGTATCAGTTTGTGTATATGTTGCTAAATGTATTGTTCCCTACTTTTGTATTTAGGGAGGCTATTTATAAGTAAATCACTATAAGTTTTTATCTGTCTGCTGCTATGAAGAGGGAGCTAGGAGAATGAGAAGGGGAGAAGAGGGGTGAGGAGGACATGAGGGAGCAGAAAGGTTGAGTTGGGGGAAGAATAGAAGAAAGCAAGATAAGAGATACCATAATAGAGGGAGCCATTACAGGTTTAAAGTGAAATCAGGCCCTAGGGAAATGTCTAGAGATCTACAAAGATGATACCAGCTATCAGTCTAAGCAACAGAGGAGAGGCTACCTTAAATGCCTTCCCCTGATAATGAGATTGATGACTGACTTATATGCCATCCTATAGTCTTCATCCAGCAGCTGGTGAAAGTAGAAGCAGACACCCATAGCTAATCACTGAACTGAACTGGAATCCAGTTGCAGAGAAGGACAAGTGATGAGCAAAGGGGTGGAGGGGAGGCGGGGGAAGCCCACAGAAACAGGGGCCCTACCTGAACAATGGGGAGCTCTTGGTCCCCAGACTGATAGCTGGGAAACTAGCATGGGACTCGATCCAGACCCCAGGAATATGGGTATCAGTGAGGAGACCTCGGAAATCCCCGGGGGCCTCCAGTAGTAGTTCAGTACTTATCCCTAGCATAGGTGTGGACTTTGGGAAACCATTCCACATAGAGGGATACTCCCTGAGCCAAGACACATGGAGGTGGGCTTAGGCCCTATCCCAAAGGATATGACAGACTCTGATGGCCCCCTATGGAAGGCCTCATCCTCCCTGGGGAGCAGAAAGGTTATGTGATAGGTGGGGTTTTAGTTGGGAGGGGGCAAAAGGGGAGGGAGAGGGAACTGGGATTGATATGTAAAGCAATCTTATTTCTAATTCAAATTTAAAAAAATGGAAAAAAGTTTTTATCTGCATCTATGAGGAGTCTTGTCTTTTCTGTTTTATTCTGTTAATTGATTCTTTTTTAAAATATGTAAAGTGTCCAATGTACGTATGTGTCTGTGCATGTGTACCATATGTACCATACACTCAGAGGTCTGAAATTTCCTCTAAAACAGGAATTAAGACAGTTGTGAGCTGCCACATGGGTGCTGGGAACCAAAACCTGGGTTTGCTGCAAGAGCAGTAAAGTATTCTTAACGGTTGAACCATCCTTAGCCCCTACTTAGTGTTAGATTTAAAGAAATATTTTTTCTTCAGATAAAGTACATCATGGTATATTATCCATTTTCAATATATTGCTCATTCTGTTTGCAAATACTTTAACAGTTTCCTGTTTTCATCCTAATAAATGGCTTCAATACACAATGATATTTAAACTTTATATCATATTTCATGGTGACTTACCTTCCATAATAGTAACTGTAAGTGAGGGCTCAATGAAGTCACTGTACAGGACCACTGTGTTGGTAGAAGAAAAAGGTTTATTGAGAAAACAGACTGCTGGTCTGCATCCAAGAATAAAGGACAGCAGTTGGGCAGGAAAGTAAGCAAAGTTTTTATGATAGTCAGCAAATGGTCTTTGAGCTGATGAGGGATGTTAGGATTAATCTGGAACTACCCTTGCAAAGGTAGTTGACCACTGGAATGGATAAGGAAGGTAGTGATTTTCCTGGTAAACAAACTGCCTTGGGAAATTCCTGAGTAGTGTTGAGTTTAGGTTTCTGTTTATTCTTTTGTTTAAAATGTTGTGTCCAACACTGCCATTTGGGTGGGTGGGT